CTTGTGGCTGTGTGTGGGGAGGGGAGGCCTCCCGCCGGCGGCACCTAAATGCTGCTCGGCTTGGCGGCCCGCTCTGGTGTGATGAGGGTGAACCACTGGCAGTGTCTTACCACAGAGAAGTGGAGGCAGCACTGCTCTTCCAAATGCCCAAGTTAACTTGTGTTGTATATTGCAGAGAGGTGATGTACAAAAGTTCCTCACCCATCAGAATTACTGTCATAATGTAAAGGCCCTTTTTGACCTCAGGGTATGGAAGGGTTTAAGCAAAGCTCACAGCTCTTTGCTGGGAAATGTTAGAATCATAGGATCGTTTTGCTTGGAGAAGACCTTTCATATCACCGAGTCCAGCCGCTAACCCAGCACTGCCAGGTCACCACTAAACCACGTCCCTTAGCTATAGGGCTAAACCTGGTCTTCAACGTACGCAATTCCATTTTAAGTCAGGGTGCCCAGTCTTCGCTGCTGGTCACAAGTCGAAGGATATCCTACCTGCATCAGCCTGGCCTGACCTCACTAGTCCACCAGGCTGAGGTCCTGTAATTAGCGAGGAAAGTGGTTCATCTCTAGTACTTAAGAGACAGTGTGATCCTGCCCTTGTCTTCCTATTGATCCCTTTCAAAACAGAGCTGCACACTATTTCTCCAGTAAAATTGTGCCTCCATGTACAGCTCTGCCATGTTGCTGTCCCTTTTGTCAAGAAACACCCTGCTCCTTTGGCGAAGAACTGAGCTGTGTTCAAACACTCCACATACAGCTGTTTAATCCAGATTAACTGTAGCAAGGTTCAGATGGTTTTGTGAACTCTAAGGGAAATGATTTTCTATTTGGACATAGTACTTTCCTCTTGGAGAGCATGTTTGCACGTGTGTGCACCCTCAGCAGGTTTGCTTATGACACCAAGCTGTGTGGTGCAGTGGACTCACTTGAGGGAAGGGAGCCCATCAAGAGGGACCTTGACAGGCTGGAGAAATGGGCCAATTCAAACTGCACAAGGTTCAACAAGTCAAAGTGCAAGGTCCTGCACCTGGCTCGGGCCAATCCCAGGCACAATTACAAACTGGGTGTGGAGTTGGTTGAGAGTGGCCCCAAAGAGAAGGACTTGGGGGTGCTCATGCAGCCCAGAAGGCCAACCATATCCTGGGATGCATCAAGAGGGGAGTGGCCAGCAGGTCAAGAGAGGTGATTCTTCCCCTGTACTCTGCTCTTGTGAGACCCCACCTCAAATACTGCATCCAGTTCTGGTGTCCCCATGAGAAAAGGGACATAGATCTGTTGGAACAAGTTCAGAGGAGGACCACAAGGATGATACAGGGGCTGGACCATCTCTGCTGTAAGGACAGGCTGAAGGCACTGGGGTTGTTCAGCCTGGAGAAGACTCAGGGAAGATCCTATGACTGCCTTCCAAAACTTGTCATGGTTTGGAGTCAGTGCTGACCCAAGATGGACCAGTCTATAATAAGTGCAGTTAGAAGAGCTTTAGCTGAAAAGTAAAATCACTGAACAGAATTACTTCTGTTCCATTCCAAACCAGGACAACCTGAAGGGAACCTACAGGAAAGCTGGAGAGGGACTTTTCTCAGAGTGTCCAGCAACAGGTCAAGAGGAAATGGTTTTAAGCTGAAGGAGAGTAGGTGTAGATTAGATCTTAGGAAGTAAGTTCTTCAATATGAGGGTGACGAGACTCTGGAACAGATTGCCCAGAGAGGCTGTGGATGCCCCCTCCCTGGAGGTGTTCAAGGCCAGGATGGATGACACCTTGAGCAACCTAGTCTAGTTGAGAGGTGTCCCTGCCCATGGCAGGGAAGTTGGATTAGATGATCTGTAAGGTCCTTTCCATCCTAAGCCATTCTGTGATTCAGAGGTCACCAACAATTCATTTTTAAAAACATGACACAGAAAATAAATTTTTTAAAAGATGCTGTTAGAGGAAATAAACCTAGAAATAAATTCAGTTAATTAAAACTTTTTAGGGTATAAGAAACCTTCATGAGCCCTCTAGGTTGCTTGATGGAACACTTTGTTTCCTAACTGGAATGGTGAGCACAGCGTGAAGGGGAGGCGCGTGGGCGGTAAGAAGAGCGCAGGGGCAGCGTCGCAGGGGGGCTCGTGCGCTTTTCCCTGCACAAGCAGCACGCTCTGTGCCTCGTCTCAGGTGTCTGCACAGCAGCACACACAGCCTGGGAAGCAGGCTGCAGAAACTGGGAATTTACCAGCCCGGGTCCCGGTGGGATAGCTTGTGAGTGCAGTGCTGCTGTGGGGGGTACAGGCTCTCGAGGGAGGATGGGCTGAGGGGGCGAGGCAGCAGAGCTGTGCTGTCTGCAAAGGGCTGGCTCAAATCACGTGGAGCTTTGCTTTGGGAAGTATGATGAGCAGCTGACAGACAGTATAAGTAAGAATCAGACCAACATGGGGGACCATATGGTCCTTGTCTGCTGCACAACAGCCAGTTAGTGAGGTGAAGATGGTAAAGCTGCCTGTAGGCTAGAAGAAGCCTTGTCATTGCAGCCCCTAGTACTTATGGGAGTCTCTGACTTATCAGTCACAGCTATCAGTGTGATAACTTTTGCAAGCTTTTCTCCTGAAAAGCCCATTCTTGAGCTCCTAGACTTGTCTTTGTTTTGCAGGTCTCCTGCAATTTAATTTTATTGGGTTTGTGAGCCCCTTTCTTGAGCAGTACTTTGGGAAGTGTTGTCTGGTGATGTTAGAAGACTCTTTGGAGTGGAGAACTAGACTTATAACAGAAAGGGTGGACCTCTTTAGCAGCCTGCTCCACAGGCTTTACTTTATCACTGAGATGGCGTGAAGGGTGCAGAGACAGTGAACAGCAATGGGAGGCACCTCTGTGAGAGCGGCCCTGCCCGGCTGTTCTGTGAAAGAGGACTGGGAACCATTCTGTGTGATTTTGGATTGGTGCAGTGTCCAGGGCACTGCAGCTGGTTCTGCAAAGGCATTCCTTAGTTACGCAGCCCACACCAAAATGTTTAATTTAAAATTAAATGGCTTTGTTTTTTTTTCCATAGGCTGTGCGTGTTACAAAACCCAAAATCCCAGAAACCATCCGAAGAAATTTTGAGCTAATGTGAGTAGCTGTACGTAAAATCATGTGAATGGGTTTTGAGCATCCAGCACAGGCATAATGCTATTAGAAAGCTCTTCCCTGGTGTTCAGAAGGTGAGGGATGAGCTCTAGTCAATGTATGCTTGGCTGTGTGTACTTGTGCATTCTGTTTCTCTATTTCCCCATAGCTCTTTCTCCTTGAAGCCTTTCAGCCCTCCACAATGACAGTTAGTGTGTACAGAGTCCATATCAAGGCTATGTTCCTGCTCCTTTATGTAGAGGGGACACCTGTAGAAAACTGCTGAACTGAATTAATGTCTCGGGGGCTTTGATGTCTTGCCCGTAAGCTCCCCTCCAGTGAACTGACAGAATTGCAGACAGATTTAAGTCTGGTATTTACCCATGGAGGTCTCTTGGCCAAGCTGTTGCCCAAAGCAAGGCCAAATGCCACAGCTGCAGCAAGTTACTGGGGACTGTGTGGGTGAGTGAGGGCATCCTTGGGCATGGGGAACCTCCGTGACTTGGAGCCCTGGCCCAGGGATGCCCCGCTCGCACAGCAATGGGCTGTTTCTTTGGGGCTGGCTGGGGTTTCCCGTGCTCCAGCTTCTGCCAGCACCTCTGGGGCTCTTGCTGTGCCACTCTGAGCAGAATTGAGCTCCAGTATCTCTTGGGACCCCTTTGGGCAGGGAGAGATGCCACTGCGTCGCCCTTCACCTCCTCATCTTCATCCAAGCAAGCCCGGCTCCTGCAGCCACTCCTTGCATGCTCTGGCCTCCACCCACATCTGCAGTAGCCCTGCACTGGACTCACTCCTCACCATGAGGGCCTCAAGCTGTATGTGGCATCCAGATGTGGCCTCACCAGTGCCAAACAGAGGAGGAGTAATCCCTTCCTTTGACTTGCTGGCTACTCATACAGCTGAAGACAGAACTAGTCTTTGCGGCTGTGAGGACACGATGCTGGCAGCTGGTTGGCTTCTTGTCCCCCTGTCCTCTTGTGCACTGGTCCCCAGCTCCTTTTCTCTGTGGTAACGTTTCTTACCCTGCAGGGAGGCTGAGAAGACCAAGCTGTTGATTGCAGCCCAGAAGCAGAAGGTAGTAGAGAAGGAGGCAGAGACAGACCGGAAGAAAGCGCTCATTGGTATGTCACCAGTTGGGAATACAGTCATAGAATTGATTCAGTTGGAAAAGACCTTTAGGATCTTTTTGGAAAAGACCTTTTGTGTTGGGTTAAGCCTGGCTGAGCACCAGGTGCTAGCCAAGATGCTCTATCTCACACACCCCTTTTCCTCTTCCTCCTCCACAAAGCAAAAGGGACAAGGAAAATGAGATGGAAACAAAGGCAGCTTAATGAAAACCAAAGCAAAGCAATTCTGTGTGCAGGAGCAAAGATAAAAAACCCAAATACTTACTCTACTTCCTGTCAGCAGGCAGTGTCTGGCCCCTTCCTGGGAAGCAGAGCTCCAAAGCACATAGTGGTTGCTCCGAAGGCTGGAGGAGTGATCCCTCCCCTCCTCCTCCTTTTTCCTAGCTTTCCTTTTTCCTAGCTTTATAGTTGAGCAATGTCTTATGGTATGGAATATCCCTCTGGTCAGTTTGTGTCAGCTCTCCTGGTTGTGTCCCCTCCCAAGGTTCTGCCCACCTGAAGTGCTGGGATTTAAGCCCCCAGCCCTGACTCAGGGTTGGCATATGGCTGATGTCCACAACCAGGCAGGAAAGACCCTCGTGATTGGTTTTCACCCAGGGTCTGGCCAGCATTGGGTGGGAACTGATTAGGAGATCATCTTCAGCATTAACATCAGGTGTCCTGCCTCCCAGTTAACAGCATAAAAGCTGGCTCTGAGCCCAGTGGGTTGGGGGAAGTTTACCTAGGTAGTGAAGGTGCTGTGTAAGATGGCTGGTTGCTGGAAGGATGCCCCCAGCTGCCACTGTAGGCAGAGCCCCCAGTGAAGGTGGGACAGCAGTACAGCTGGGAGCAGAGGGAGGAATATGTCCGTAATAATGATACCATTTTATGGTCATGGCTACACAGTTTGAACTGGACTGGTTGCCTTGTTCCTCAGTTGATTTGCTCCTGTCTTCAATTTGTCTTGCTCTGTGAGTGAACATATCAGCCTTTTCTTTCCTCTGGTTGTTGGCTGTCTCAGATTCCTCGTATATGGTTTGAAACTGGGGGCAGGGATCTGGCTTGCATGCTGTCTGTTCATGGTAATATCCTTCCTATTGGGATATGTGGTCATCAAAAGACCATCGTGTCCCACTGGAGGGGAAAGTTAGAAAGAGCCTTGGTGCTGTGCGAGCTCTGCTCAGGGGTAGTCACAACGTGGGTATTATCAGCACCCTTCTAACTCCCAGCACAAATACACTGCACCAGGAGGGCTGCTATGGGAAAATCAGCTCAGCCAGACCAAATACAATCAAGTCCAGCTGTTAACTCAGCACTGCAAGGTCACCACTAAACCAATTTACTAGGTCAATATTACAGACTTGAATGATTCCACAGAAAATCAGCAAGCCTAAACCTGCTATCAACTAAATACTCCCAAAATGCTGCCTGGATTTTGTTTTTAAGTGAAGCAGCAATGTACAGGTTAGGTAAAGAGGAGATGTTTGAGCTCTGATTTTAGTGGTCTTAACACAAAAGCAATTCACCAGTCAGTTAAAGGTGCTGGTGTTAATTGAATCAGAAGCAAATACCAACAGACTGACCTGCTACACAGTCCACTGGCCATGTTCTGCATCACTTTTTCCACTAGCACCATGCTGGGGTGCAGGCTGCTCTCCAGCTCAGACCCTGGCTTCAGCCTGGAAATGCTATTTCTGTGATGGATTTTTGACAGTCCTGAGTGGTGCTTTCTGCCACTCCTGAAGGACTCTCATCCTCAATTTTATTGTTTAAAAAAAACACCCATAAAAACCTGGTAAAAAATACATTGCTCGGTCAAATAAACATATCTAAACATAGATTTGTTTTGACTGGAAGAGGCATTTAAGATCATCAAGTCCAACTGTTAACTCAGCACTGGCAAGCCCACCACTAACACATGTCCCCAGTGGAGAAGCCAGACTAAATTTCCACTCCTGCATGTCTGTGCCAGAGGGACTCTCACCTGGGAAAGGGATGTCAGTGCAGCTCCCAGAACCGCAGCGCTGCTTTCTGCCTGTGCTGCTGCCTGGGGTCTGGGCCCGAGCAGGGGGGGAGGCAGCAGAGAGCAAACCACTGGCCTGGCAGATCCGGGTGCTTGGGGTCAGGGTGCTGATGCTCAAGCCCTGAGAAGCAAATGTCTAAAGTGAACCTGTTGTGATTGCAGAGGCAGAGAAGGCTGCTCAGGTGGCCAGGATTCACTACCAACAGAAGATTATGGAAAAGGAAACAGAGAAACGCATTTCTGAGATTGAAGGTAACCATACTTCTGACATCACAGAGTCATTAAGGTTGGAAAAGACCTCAAAGACCATCAAGTCCAGCCATCGAGCCAACACTACCATGACCACCAGGCCATGTCCCAGAGTGCCACATCTACACGTTCTTTGAACCCCTCCAGGGATGGGGACTCCACCACCTCCCTGGGCTGCCTGCTCCAATGCCTCAACACTCTTGCAGGAAAGAAATTCTTCCCACTATCCAATCTAAACCTCCCCTGGTGCAGCTTAAGCCCATTTTGTCTTATCCTATTGATGGTTCCTTGGGAGAAGAGACCAACATACCCACCTCACTCCAGCCTTCTTTCAGGGAGTTGCTGAGAGCAGTAAGCTCTCTCCTCAGCCTCCTCCAGACTAAACAATGCCTCAACACTCTTGCAGGAAAGAAATTCTTCCCACTATCCAATCTAAACCTCCCCTGGTGCAGCTTAAGCCCATTTTGTCTTATCCTATTGATGGTTCCTTGGGAGAAGAGACCAACATACCCACCTCACTCCAGCCTTCTTTCAGGGAGTTGCTGAGAGCAGTAAGCTCTCTCCTCAGCCTCCTCCAGACTAAATAGTCCCAGTTCCCTCAGCTGCTCCTCCTAAGACGTGTCAACTGCCAGCTGAGGCAGATAGAGGAACCTCATTGCTGGGCTTGTAGGCATCGCCATACTGCAGAAATAATAAAGAGTGCAGTGGCACCAGGTTTTGCACTGGCATCATTCCTGCCCTTTGCAGGCACCTCTCCAAGAAGCCAGCAGGGCAGGTATGTGGCCAGCCAGGTTGTGTCACAATCACACTTGGGTGAGCTCATCCCCCGGGGGTGAGAGGCTCAGGTACTCCATGTGATGGAGCTGTTCATTTGCTAACACTTCTTCTCCTGTCCATCCTCTGTTGTGGTGTCAGATGCTGCGTTCCTAGCAAGGGAGAAAGCAAAAGCTGATGCAGAGTACTACAGTGCACAGAAGCTGGCCGACTCCAACAAGGTGAGCACCTGAAAGCTGTCAGAAGAGGACTTGCTTACTTTTTTCTTCTGCACAGGAAATCAGGTTTCGGTAGGCAGCACCAGAAAAACAGTTGATTTAACAGCCCACATCCCAGGAAGCAGCTGCCTGAGGTGAAATCTGACCATGAGAGGCCCAGAAAGTTGTCTCATACGGTCTCTGGTTTCTCTTTTCATAGCTGAAACTTACCCCTGAGTATTTGGAACTGATGAAGTACCAAGCGATCGCTGCGAACAGCAAGCTCTATTTTGGTGACCGCATCCCCAGCGTCTTTCTGGATTCCTGTGCCTTCCAGCAAGCTAATCAGAGGACCGCCCAAGAAACCAGTCTGCCTTCACAGGAGGCCCTGGAGACGTCTGGAGAAAGCCACCTCAGAGCAAAGGGAAGCACTGGCTGACAGGTGGCAAGCTGCCCAGTGGAGCTCGACAGCTAGCCCGGCTGTGAACGGGGATGTGCCCTGAGCTGGTGGGCGGATGCAGCGCATGTGTGGACATCTTCTCTATAGGTGGCAGTTGGGTTGATTTTCTTCTAGCAACACATTGCAAGTGCTCTGCCTCTTCTGTTTCTTCCCCTATTAAATTGGTGCTTCCACATGAGGGATAATCCTGTACTAACATACCTATACTGGAATATTAAAAGACAGACACCAGGAAAGCCTTCTGCAGTAGGTGCAGTTATTTAGCAAGCATTACTCCAGAGGCAGGAGGTGTGGCTTTGAGAGCGTTGTTGCCTCACACCGGCCCTTGCCCCGTGCTCCTTGCTGAGGCTGAGCGAAGAGGTTTCCTTCATCCTGCCGGTGAAGCTTTGCTTTGTGGACTCTGAGGCAGGTTTCTACTGGCACTGTCTAACTCTCCTCGATGACTCCAGTGGAGTGGGCTCTGCTTGACCAGCAGAGGTTGAGTGTTCCTCCTCAAGGCAAGGCCTGGTGAGTGATTTGGTGTGGAGTAGGTTATTTGAATAAGATCTGCATAGCCATAGTCTTCTTTCCTGTGGGCAGTGGCACTAGATAATGACTCAGAGCAAGCAATATCTAATGGGCTTCTGTAACTCCCCCTCTCAAAGCAAGAATCTCATGATGGCTGCCTGTGACTGACTGTAGCACATTTCAACAGGGTGGCTGGATTTCACCTTGCACCCTAAGCCAAATTTCAGAGCGCATGGAGCACCTCCCAGCAGCTGGTTTGGAATGGAGCTGGTAAATCTGTGCTCGGACCCCAGTCTCCCAGTAGGTCTTTTCACCAAGGAAAAGGGGCTGAATTTCCACTACTCTGCCTTGCTGGCAAAGTGAAGGGGAAGAGAAGAATGGAAGGACCCCACTCTGCAGCAGATCAGATGTTTGACACCTCAGCTGCAGAGCAGGTGAGGCATCACTGCTCCCCAGTGCAAAATCCCTCTCTCCAAGACGTGCGACCTGCCTCGTGCATCCTTGGTGCAGCCATGGTAGGAGTCTGTTGCTGGTCCTCTCATCCCAGGCCAGGCTTTGCTGCATTGCAGGGCTTTTGACTCAGCAGTGCTGGCAAGATGATCCTTCTTCCTGGTGTGTGTTGTAATATATGCAGCCCTTGCGTCCCATGTGCCACTGCAGGGGGAGAGGAGATGCTCTTGGATGGAGGGAAATCTGCTGGTATGATCTGCTTTTCTTTGTCCTCACCTTTGTCTGCAAGGATGTGCTTGTTTCTAGGACTTGTTTCTTGTGTTCTGCAACAATCCCAGAAGGCAGTGGCTGGGGAAGCAGCTGGTGAGAGCATGAGCTAGAACACTGTTCCACAGGTGGCAGCACTGCAGCATTGCCTGCCTCTGAACCCACCACAAGTCGGGAGACTGCCTCTCCTCTGCCAGCCTGGGATATCAGTATGTCCATCCTGCTTTCCTGTCCCCTCAGGTGTGGCCACATCTAGCATTTGGCCCTGGCAGGGTTCACTGGACAGGCCAGTTGCTGGTGAGGGGCCAGTTGGTGCTGGCATTGAAACCTTTTGCCCTGACACCATCTGCAACTTGATGCCAATGAGAGGAGCATGCTTAGCTTTTGCCTTGGTGAAATGTTCAACCCAAAACGAACAGCCTAAACTTCAGCTCTGTTAGTGGTTTCCCCAGGTGAGTTGTGTGGGCTTCAGGCTCTCCTGTGTTGTTCTTCTAGCCTGTGTGGCGTGACACGGAGGTTGGCAGTGTCTCTCCTGAGGGAAGCTTGGTAACGTGCAGTGCCTTATGCTGTCTGAGCTCCTGCCCTGACTGCCTCTCCTCCATCTCTGGGGCAGAGCAGGGAAGCATTGACCGTGCTGCTTCTGCTGTTGGCCAGCTTGGGTAATATCTGACAGTGGGACTTTGCAGCAGTTTCAGGTGGTCTTTCTTTCCACCATCTCTCTGCAAACTCCCAAGGCCCTCTTGGTGCTCCTGCTCCAAGATGGCACCTGCTGTTCAAACCCAGCCATGGCAGGAGGCAGGGGCCAGGACCCCAGGCTGGTGAGAAGCCGTCCGGAGGCGCTGGGCGAGGTCCCGGCTCGCAGGGAGGGTGTGTGGGCGTGCCTCAGGCGCCGCGGCGAGGGGAGCACTGCTGTCCCCGGGAGGAGGGGAGTCTGCAGTTCTCACCGCACACACCTGGTGCACCAGGGTTATGGCACAGCCTTCTGCCCTGGAGGTCCCAGCCTGGGGACCGCTAAGCCAAGCTTTTGGGTGGCGTGGGGGGTACTTGTGTTGACACCTGCTGAGAAGTCTAAGGCAAGCAGTGCACTCTTGGTACAGAGCAGCCTTAGAAGGGTGCTGGTAGGCAAGAGAATGTGAAGGACGTCTGCATATAATGCTGGAAGGCAGATGGGTCAGGAGGCAGGGCAGAGCTGAACCCCGTGGCTGGGCTTATGGCAGGAGAGGAGCGGGCAGGGACAGCACTAGACCCCACAGTGCCCTCCCCACGGAAAGGGTACCTAGGGGGAGCACGGGGAGGGCACAGCGTGTTTCGTAGCTGTGGTGTTTGAAATGTCTCCTGGAAGTACTGTTGACTTGTCCCATTTCTCCTGTGGGAAGGGCTTCAAGGAGCCAGAGGAGTCCGACCTCTTTGTTGCCGTTTGTGGTGCTGGCTTGCAGCAGCCACCTTGGTTGAATTTTGTGTCGAAGGCAGGCTTTTTAGAACAGAAGCACTCCTGGAGAAGACAGACTTTTCTCCATGTAGTTCTCACTGGGGTTGGGCACCACCCAGTGCTGGCATCTAAACCCTGGGCATCAGGCTGGATGGACAGCGGAGGTTCTGCTAGTCTGGAGATGACAAGAAGCAAGGGCACGAGGGGAACCACTAGAAGCAGCGAGCAGGAAAGCCTTCCAGGGCAGTGCAGGAAGGGCTACTTCCCTTTGGATCCGAGTCTTGCTGGGACTGGCTAAATGTCATTCTGCTCTGGTTGGGTGCCTCCTGCCCACATGGTCTGAGGAACAACCAGGGGATGCTCCTGCGGTTTGAAGTCCCGCAACCACATATGCTGATGCTCCGTGCCTTCTGCAGAAGCCTTCTCCATTCCTTCCTGCTCCTCTGGGCGGCGCTTCAGAAGCCTTACTAGGCGTGCAAGAGGGGGGAATTGCCACGGCTTTAACACCTCCACTCTGGGCTTTGCATCTCTCTGAGCTGGGAGCTGGGAAGCAGAAATGGGTGCAGCCAGGAACATGGGATTGAACTGGCTTCAAAAGGCCCGTGTGGCCCTGTGACTAAAGGGGCCTGCCACTGGACCACCACCTTCTTTATGGAAACACAATACATATGTTCAAGTTTACATGCACAGTGTTAAGTTCTTTTGATAAAGCAGAATAAAATTATTTTGTTACCATTTCCTTGGTGGCTGTATGTGTCCTAGGGCTGGTGTCTCTGTAGGCAGGTGGAGGGGGGATACCTCACCCCGCAGTTAACACTGCGTCTACTTTGCACGTTCTCAGCGGCAGTGTCAGCTGCCCTACGAGCCCTGGGAGCAGCCTGGGCTCAGAGAACACCCCAGGGTGGTGGAGCTAAAGTCCTGCTCTGTTTCAGCTGTGCCAAAGCTCACGATGGAAGCTGAGCCCTGCTGGCCCACCTGGGCTGCCCTGTTGCTTTCGTGGGGCCACTGTAGCAGTCCTTCCCAAGCAGGTGTTGGCTGGTCCCTGAACACTGATGTTCCTTGCAGGCATGGATGCTGGAGGAGAGCTGAGCTGGTGGTGGGAGTCCCAGGGGCCAGTCTTTGGTCGCAGGGGCCTGTTTGGCAGCTGTGGCTGGGGGCCAGCAGGACTCTGTGCTGGGGGTCACAGGGTCCTGCTGCAGCATCCTGCAGCCCCTGGGACATGTTCTCTCCATATGGCTGACGGGACACGCTGCCGTTTGGCCCCCGTGGCTCAAGCACAGGATTTGTAAACTTAGCTCAAGCCCTTCTCCCTGCTGGTTCCACCCTTACCAAGTCCACCCTGAGCCCCAGGCAGCTCCGTGCCTCCTGCCACCCTCCTGTGCTACTTTCTGCCAAGAAGACACCCAGCGACACCACTACCTTTAGTCTTTATTGGTATAAAAGCTTTCAACCTAAATTATATAAAAAATGGGGAGGCCTAGTTTGACAACAGACATCTCAAAACAGTCACATAAGTGTCATAAGGTAACAGCTGCAGTAAAAAGGAAATTCCCTTTCAGGAGAACAGTAATTCAAGCAATAACTTCAGAGATAAAAGCCCCACTGGGAAGCCAAGCCCAGCTTGGACCTGCCCAAGCCCCTGGCTAGAGCCCTGCTGGCTGACCCCTGCCCTGGGGCACGGTCCCTGTGGTGCAGCACTCCTCCTGCCCCAGCAAGCCCAGCAGGGAACACAAGGAGCTTCTTGCCACAGCCCCAGCAGGCAAGGAGCAGACACATTCAGGTCGTCAGGAGAGAAGGCAGCAGCTCCCAGGGTACGGGAGAGCTTGGACCAGCTTGAGGCTGGCCTCAAAACCAGAGCTGGCATCATCCCTACTCCTGGTCTCCTCACAAAGCCCCGGCTGCTGGCTCTCTCTGGGCCAGCCATGAGGCTGCAAAGTCTGTTAAGGCACAACTCAAACTTAGCTGTAAACACTGGTGCCCTCCCAGGGCAGGGGGTGCTGTGAGTGATTCAAGTAACGGTGGAAGCGAGGTGGTGGCCCCCAGCTGTGACACCCATGCATCAGAGCCACCAGCTCCTTGGCTTCACTGGTAGATGGAGCATCCTTGGTCACCTTCTAGCCAGGTGTGGCTTTAGGGCCACCTTCGGGGGGACGGCTCGCTGAAAGACCGGGGGGGCTGTTGGTGGGCAGCAAGGGAGGGCCAAGCCTGGCGACTGTTCACCACAGCACGGTGCCTTGCTCTTCAGTGCAGGGAGAGGCTTGCTGGGCGGCTTTGGCTTTGCCTGGTGGAAGGAGAGGAGAGGAGAGACCCCAAGTCCCTCACCTGGGCACCAAGGAGGGACCCAGAGGAGGATAAGGAGCAGAGGAAGGGCAC